ATACACTTTATACACATTTTCTGGTGGTATTCTTATTTTGTACATGAAACTAAGTTGTGTACATTAAACCATTTTCTCAGCCACTCATGAACAACATTACTCAAGAGATGTAGGTTGTTTGTAACATTATCTCCCCAGGATGCAGTTTATCGTAGGATTGGTCATGGAACTAGTCTCTGATTTTCTTTCAGGCATTTGTTCCTTCACCTTTAACCAATCTCTTTTACTTGCTTTCTACAGATGCTGCTCCTCCTAACAGCAATGGACATATCTCTGTTGCAGTCAGCCTGAACAAACCCTATAGACTTCCCATTGGAACAACCTTAAAGAAACGAGTGAACCGACCCTCTCTCCCCAGCATCCCTGTTATCAACCGTGACAGTAGTTTCTCGCGGCATGCTTCAGGTAAGACATAGAAAGAATGGTAAATCATAGCACGCACTGTAGGAATATTTATGAAAGATGATTCTTGCCTCATACATTATAATATCAACTAACATGTGATCAAATTAGACAATATTTATTTATTTATTGCAATTATATACCGTTTTTCTCACCCCTGGAAGTGGAGGGCGGGGGGACGGGACTCAAAGCAGTTCACAACATAATCAATGGCAAAATTCAATGCCTCAAATGTATAAAATCATCACATATCAAATCAACAGCATATGATAATAGATTAGAACCATTAAAACTATAAAACTATAAACAACAATCACAGACACAACATAAAACATTTAGACCTTGCATCAGTCCCAAGGTTATCTTAAACTATTTCCATATTTCCATCATTCAGCGAATGCCTGCTTGAATAGCCAGGTCTTAAGTTGTTTCCTAAATGCTATGAGGGAGAGGGCCAATCTAATCTTAACGGGGAGGGAGTTTCACAGCTGAGGGACTACCACCAAGAAGGCCCTGTCTCTTGTCCCTGCCACTCGCATCTGTGAAGAAGGTGGGACCGTGAGCAGGACCTCCCTGGCAGATCTTTGTGTTCTAGCTGGTTTGGACAGGTAAGCTGGACCGGAACCATTTAGGGATTTATAGACTAAAGCCTGCATTTTGAATTCTGCCCTGTAGCAGACTGGCAGTCAGTGGAGCGATATATTTAGAATGTTTTGAGGTTTTGTTTTGCAGAGGTACTCTTTCAAGTGTAAAACATATCTCTGTCACACTACATTGCCATTGTAAATTGCCCTGAGTCGCCTGAGGGCTGAGAAGAGTGGTATACAAATCCAGTAAATAAATAAATAAATAAATAAATAAATAAATAAATAAATAAATAAATAATAGCCAAGATTTTTCCTCAGCTATGTATCTTGCATTTTCTGTATTATCCTTAGTGTTAGTCTACAGGAAGTTCAGTTATCTTCAAGTCTCTCAGTAGTCCTTGCCTAAGAAAATTCTGTGAAATTTCTGGTGTTGCCATAAGTTTATAGACAACTTGAAGACAGGCATATACACTTGCACAAACACTTACCCATTTTATACTACAAATAATTGTAACTCTCTTTCTCCCTCCTCTTCATGATCTAGCAAATACGAAGTCTTTCTAATCTGTCTCATTAAAATTTAACATCATAATAGCAGATGTCCGGAATGGCTCAACTAGTGTAAGACTATTGAGCTAACAGTTACATACCTATTGACTCACCAAGTCCTCACTAAGTCAACACATTTGATTAGCTGGGATAGAATGTCAGTCACTGTTTTCAAAAACCTATTATTAAAAAGTTCACTAAGGAAAACAATATAGAGAACAATATAGAGAAACCATGAAAATGAACAAAATCTGGCTACCAGTATTTAAAAAACTTTAAAATTAAAACAGCAAAACAGTAGAGGGAAAACAATCAGGCACATCTAATCACCTCTCAACAAAAGATTGCTCCAGGCACTTCCAGGCTATCAAATGCTAATCAAGGTGGTCAGTTGAAACATTCACACCTAGCTCCAGCAGACAAGAGTCCTTTGTCCCACCTTGGTCTTTCCACAGATATATAAACCCATTTTCCTAGTTCCAACAGACCTCACTACCTCTGAGGATGCTTGCCATAGATGCAGGCAAAACGTCAGGAGAGAATGCCTCTAGAACATGGCCCTATAGCCCGAAAAAACCTACAGCAACCCAATATAGAGAAGGCCTTTTGGGACTATATGACAAATCAGGTTCAGATAGTTTTAAACACACCCTCAATAAAAAAAGGAAGAAGCTCACGGAATACATAAAAGTTGCACTTCAAGGAAATATCCTATTCCTTCTTCTAGCTTTTTATTTATGTATTGGGACTAGAGACCTCGGTTTAAAATGAGAGAGGAATTCTCCCATCTGCAGTCCGAACATCAAGAAAATGTATGAGTCTATTACTTACTTCTGATGATATAGTCAAGATCTTCTTCCTGGAATAATTACACCTCTCTAGTTTTATCACACCAATGCTGAAGGAAGACACAGATGTTTCTATTTTCCTCCATTTCGCATGCCCAGTTATCCTCCTCTTCACATTTGCTGTCTGCTAGGGATGACTGTCAATTGACAGTCACTACAGGGCAATTTGACTAGTAGTGACTGTGTCCTATCTGTCCTATTCTTCCTTTTGTCTCAAATTACCTTGAGGTCAAGGTATTACTGTAATACATTTCCCTTTTGAGATCCTGAGCTTCCAACAGTGCTGCTTTTGCATGTCCAAGGTACACACACATAGTGCATGGCTCAACTTTTCCATGTTTCTAAAGCTTAGGGTTTTGTTTTGTTTTTTGGTAATTTCCCATTCTTTGACCTGCAATTCCATTCACTTGTCTCAAGATTAGATTTACAAGCAAAACAGGCAATAAGAGTGATTTGATATTAATGAAGTTCACTTCACCCTGAAGGAATTTTTTTAAAGGATGTGTTAGGCAGCATGAGTCGAACTACATCACACTACTTCACATCGTGCATTAGAGTCTAACATTAATGGAAATGTTCTTATCCGAGAACTTTCATTCTCTCAATAGGATTTCCACAGAGATATTATCAATCACACTACTAAGTCTTGCCTTAGCAATCAGTTACAAACTAAACCTGTGCTTATTTTCCAATGATCAGTCACAAAATAAAACACGCTAGACATTAAAAATATTAAAATTCATTAAAGGACTACCATGTATGCAGAGATTAAAAACACACCTATGACATTAAATGCACGACACTGGTCATTTTTGGCAACACAAACATGTTATTAACTTAATGTATTGTCAAAGGTTTTCATGGCCAGAATCAATGAGTTGTTGTAAGTTTTTCGGGCTGTATGGCCATGTTTCAGAAGCATTCCCTCCTGACGTTTTGCTGCATCTATGGCAGTCATTCTCAGAAGTTATGAGATGTGCTGGAAACTATGAAAATGGGGTTTATATATCTGTGGAATGTCCAGAGTAGGAGAAATATCTCATGTCTGTTAAAGGTAGGTATGAATGTTTCAATTGGCCACCTTGATTAGCATTTAATGGCCTAGCATTTTCAAGGTGTGGCTTCTTACTGCCTGGGGGAATCCTATGTTGAAAGGTGATTAGCTGTCCCTGATTGTTTCTTGTCTGGAGTTCCCCTGTTTTTGAGTGTTGTTCTTTCTCCCATCCTGGACATTCCACAGATATATAAACCCCATTTTCCTAGTTTCCAAAAGACCTCACAACCTCTTAGGATGCCTGCCATAGAAGCAGGCAAAACGTCAGGAGAGAATGCTTCTAGAACATGGCCATGCAGCCCCAAAAAATTACAACAACCCATGTTTTGAACTTTCAAGGAAAGAAAGAATTACCCTGTCCTCTCTTGGGAGGGAGAACCAGAGTCTGAGAGCAGCAACCAAGGAATTCCATTTCCTTGTTCTCATCAAATGACTCTAAGAAGGCGGTGGAACAGAGAGAAAGGCCTCTCCAGACAATCTTAAGAGCTCTAATAGCCTCATAAAAGGAGATACGGTCTATACACCTGAGGTGGAGAGAGTAGAATTTAAAGTGTTCCTTATTGCAAATTTATTTCAGCCTTGGGTATAGTTTCCTGACTATCAGCATCCTTGCACTTTTACTGTTGGGTCTTTATCTATTTATCTGCAGCTAACTCCTTACCAGCGAATCTTCTGGATTCTCCAGAATGGGAGGATCTTGTAAACAGCAATATCTTAGAAATAAGACCTTTATCACACCCAGAACAGGGGCTGGTGGATGCCCTGAAGTGGCTAAATAGCAACGATTGGTAAGGAAAAAGAAATGCATTTAATTTGTATCCTCTTGATTTTACTCCTCTGCATCATGTCACAATGCATTCTTAAGACATTTACACAGTTTTATGCCCTTGTCCACATTCAACCCAAAAGCTGCTATATGTTTTGCCTATTCTTTGCACTCCTCTTCTGAATGTATAGTTAATTTGAAAATGTATAGGCTTTTGTTCTAACATACACATTGCTATAGAAGTCCATTAAAATCACACAGGAGCATAAAATAGCATTCTTGAACCTTTCACCCTGCCACCTGCTCCCAAACAGTTTCCATAAAATCTAACCCATAAATATAGCTCCGAAATCCCATGTAAACACATGCCCATAGAGTAGTGGCTCCCAACCTTTTTTTGACCAGGGACCACTTGACCAGGGACCACTTTCCAAAATTAGTACCAAAAGTACGAATCAGTTATTGGTCAACTTTAGATTAGGTTTGGTTATTAGGGGTGCTGATTCAGAAAACTGCATTGGATAGACCACATCAGATCTAGTTTCTGATACAGAACACATGCCATCCAGTAGTCACCATCTGCTCGCCCACAGAAAACCATATTAAATAAGCACTATAAGAGGGTTTTGTAAAACCAGTCAGTCTCGTTGCAACAGTGTAGTAACAGTGAGGTTCCAGCCCATATTTAGTTTTTGGGGACCACTGGTTGTCCACGGACCACAGGTTGGGAACCACTGCCCTAGAGCTTCAAAAACGGTGGTCCAAGGACCAGTGTCAGTGGCAATTTATGGCAAATTTCCAGGAAAGACAGACACAGTTGTAGCCAACAGGCAAAAATATGGGGATAAACAGCTGGTCTGTCACTACTTTATAAAACTGATAATTCTTCCTCCATCAACTTGAAAACATCCCCCTTCTATTAGAAGTCTGTAGACCCACCCAAAGCTGTTTTTAGTAGGATAGGAAAAATAACCTATCCTGAAAGATAATTTAAAAACTTTCATATGTCTTCTTCCTCCATTATTCTGTCCTTTTATGTATAATTTTGTTGACAGTTCAACAAATATAACAAGCAACTTCAATTCAGTACACAAAAAGATTCCATTATAACCTAGAAGTCATGGCCTTTTCTGAGAAGGGATTTCTCCAAAAGTTCTTCATTTATTCTGGAAGTTGAGGTGACAAATCAAGTCTGTCCACAGAGTTTGAAAAGGGGCTCCAAAGTCATTTCTGCTGTTTCTTTTTATTTTTGATAGGTTTTTGGTAGGATTCTCTGCCAAGGCAGTTTTGGCATGTATTGCATGCATATGCATCCTTTAATATTATGCCTCCTAAATGTTTTCCAGTATTTTCCAGCCTTGCAGGTTCTAATAATAGAAATCCATTACTTATGCAAAAGCATTTCATTTTTGCCTCAAAAAGCCAGCAATAATGCAAGTGTATCACTTTTCTGCCTCTGACCAGTAGGGCTCTTAATGAGATTGACCAGTTTATCCCAAAATTGTCTAACCTTTGGAAAACACAATCACTTACAAATAAATGTTCCTTCAAAAATTCACATATTTTCTCTAACATAGTGAAGATGGTAGTTCATTGGTATGCTTTATTTCTGCCTGGCCATTTATAGTTTTTTTTTCCATTTTGTTTTGCTGAAGAGTGGTGTTAATGCCTACCTTTTATTCCAACTAGCATTCTATATTGTCATCTTTAAATGTTCTCTGCAAATTGTCTTCCTTTCTAGAGATTCTCTTTATTGTATGCCTATTACCCATTGATATAGTCTGAAATCTGTTCCTTCAGTGACCTTGTTTTCATTAACACGTTTTCAAAAAAATGGGCGAAGTCTTGAAAAGAAATCAGATTTTTCCACCTTCTATTATAAAGGTGCTACAAATAAAGAATGCACTTATTACATTTGCATTTTGTAATTTGGGGCAGTACAAGGATAGGATCTTACTGAAGTTTTTGAATTGCTTTATGACTAAGCTCAAACCTGTACCCATTCATGGCTGTTAAAGCAGCTTCTTTCTTTTACGCTATTTAGAGCTCAGCACATTGGTTTGAGTGTTGGACTATAACTCTAGAGGCCAGGATTTGAATCCCTACAAAGCCATGGAAACCCATTTGGTGGCCTTGGGCAAGACATACTCTCTCAGCCTCAGAGGCAAAGACAAAACCCCTCTGAACAAATGTTGACAACAAAATCATGTGACAGGTTTGCCTTAAGGTTGCCATAAGTCAGAAATGATTTGAAGATGCCCTACAACAAGCACAATGTATTTAAATACCCTAAAGTAGTGATTCTCAACCTGTGGATCCCCAGGTGTTTTGGCCTACAACTCCCAGAAATCCCATCCAGTTTACCAACTGTTAGGATTTCTGGGAGTTGAAGGCCAAAACATCTGAGGATCCACAGGTTGAGAACCACTGCCATAAAGACACCAGATCCCATCTGATCATGGAAGCTAACCATTTAGAATTGCACAAGAGATGGCCAATGAATACCAGGCGCTGTAGACTATATTTCAGAGGAAGCAATGGGAAAATTGTGTATTTTTTGCCTAAGAAACCCTATGATATTCATTTGGTCGCCATAAGTGGATACGAAGGCACATACATAGTTACTAGTGCACAGCCAGTTTCAGAAGACATGCTTTCTAAATGTGACAAGCATGTCTACTTCATTTCAGTGGAGTTTAAGTACAACTAAATTCCTTTGGATTGAAATATGTTGACACAGACCAAACCTCTAGTTACCTATTTTTTCTGTCTCTTATTTATCTTTTTATTCTGCTCCCTTGTTTGTCAGATATGTGTTTCACTTTTTTAAAAAGCTGCCTTTGAGAAGGTCTGATCCTATTTATGCCATGTGTTAATGGTGTCAGTTGAGAAGAGGTTGCATAGAATTGAACATATTTTCCTGCCAATGTCAATTTTATGTTTCAGATTTTGAGAAAAAGGTGTCTGAAGCTTTCGGTAGGAAAACTCACAAAGAAACAAATCAAGCAAAGGGCAACACATAGGGAAATTTAAAAAGCCTCTGGGGAAGCTTAAAGATGTTTCTCATAGTCTCCGTAATTAACTACTTCTGTTAATTAGATTAGGTTAATTAGGTGCAAGGTTATCTTTAACTGGTTGACCAACACACATGTACAGCAATAATAAAGGGCGGGAGGAACCAAAGACAGACAGGCACTTGCCATCATTCCCAGAAATGTTCCTTAACCATCATTAAACAATTGTTTAATTTCAACTGCTTCATAGACCGGCTGCTTTTCTCTTTCCTCAGTTTGTCCATTAGTCTTGTGTCTCTCACACAGAGATGTTTCAATGATCCCTCCAAATGATGGTCATGTATCCCGCATAACCTGCATGTAACATCAGACCAGCTCCAAAACCTGCATTTTATATCAAGGCACAAAGTAATTTTGCCTCTGGATGCAATACTAAATGAATCAATAAATACATATTTCTTGTAAGCACTCTCTTTTTCTCCCTGGTATTGAAGATAGAACAATAACAAATTAAATAAGTGACAGTTTTCTTCCCTTTCATAACACCCACCATCTGCTGCCTGAGCGGTTGACTCATTTTAGTTAATGATATGGCCAACATTGCACTATATCTGCCCATTGGACAGTTGAGGCATGTCATTTTTCCTGAAACTTTAGGTTACTGTGTGTTTGAAAAGAATAATTTGGCGATTGCGGCATTTATTTGCAATGTATTTTAATTTGACTTTGGTGTTTGCAATTCTGGGAATCTAGGCCCAGGCTCCGAAATGTCTTTCCAGATGAACCTGACTGGTGTCTTCTTAGTTTTCCTTCCTTGTTTTTATTTGAGCAGGTCTTTCTCTTTTTTTATTTATTTATTTACTTACTTCATTTATACCCTGCCTTTCTCACCCCACAGGGGACTCAAGGTGGCTTATAAACTTACAAAAATTCAATGTCGCATATAGACATAACAATAAAAATGTACCCCATCAACTATAAAACAATTAAAACACATAAGCAATTAAAACACATAGAGCAATAAAACAGATTAAAAACATATTAAGCTCAGTTGCTACCCAATTAGGAGAGTTTGGCTTCATGGATGTTGTTGTATCTTTTTAAATGAAGTGCTTTAGAGAGGAGAGAGGCTGTAGGGAGACATGAGGCGGGAGACAATTGCAAGGGTCTGTGAAATGGGGGACATAGGTTTGCACTATGAGTGCTATGATTGGATTACTACCATTTCCCAAATAAACAGGCTTGATCTACATGGCCTACATGGTCAAATAATTCAGTTTGAACTGCATTTTATGGTAAGTGTAGTTCTCATATATCACCTCATCACAGGTGGTATATGAGACTACACTGACCATATTTGCCCATTGTGTGCTGCTTCCCCTCCACTTTCAGCATGGAGCCCATTTGACAACACACAGACACTTCTGGCTGGGCTCTGTGCCGAAAGAGGAGAGGTAGCAGCGCATGCTGCTGCTGCGGCAACATGGGACCCTTCCCATGTTGCCTTCCCAGCAAAGGGGGAAGCCAGGCAGCAACACTTCCTCCCATGGGATGAGGAGTAAGTTAATTTGTGCGATGTGGGGCATGGAGCAATGGCTTCTCCACACCTCCTGCCAAGAGCCCATGGATTTGCCATGATGTGGGGTGAATCTATGGACCCTTATGATGAAGTCGACAATGCAGTTCAATGTGGCATCAGGATGTAGCAATGGGATGTGAAAGAAGGCATTGCTTCCTCAAAGGAATTCGGCTTTTCAGATCAATTTTCTTTCCGTCCCAAAAATTCTAGCATTAAAAAGAATAAGGCATGTATAATCTTATATTTCTTATGTTCAAATTCTCTTCATAGTTATAGCTTCCTCTTTTATTTGCATATCTAAACCATCCAAATACTTTGAGTCCAAATAAATAAGATACTTCTTCTGTCTGACAGTTTTGTTTCTGCATCATGTAAATATTCATAAAATGTTGGTGGATTCGCTTGGGGTGGTTTAACCAACTCCAAGCGACGTACGAAGAAAATCACTGAATGATATTGGGGAGCACTTCAATTACTTTCCATTCATCCAGAATGTGTGGCACAAAGATTGCAATGTACTGCCTAAACTGTATTTTTCAATGTTGGTTACATTTTAATTGTTGCAAAGCTAACATTTCAGGGAATGAAGAATAATTTCATTAAGGAGCAGAATTCTTATTTGGGGTCCATTGCTCCCATTTTGCCCCCTTTCCCTTCTCCCACATCAGGATGGCACGCTAAATATAGTTGCTTTGGTTAGTCTGCTTTGCCTGAGACATGCCACATTTCTGAAAGTTATCAATCAGGAATTTGTTACGTGTGTCAGTTTTTGCCACCAACTCACCAACAGATGGTGCTGTTAATTCAGTAAGGCCGAGTCAAGGAGACTTTATGGCAATAGCATTAAAAAAAATATCCAAGATTTGTTTCTGAGCCTCACTGGAGAGAGGCTGCTATACAGGTCTCAGCCCTTTCCAAGGATGGAGTTTATCATGTGGAACTAGTAAATCAATCACACTCGTTTATTCCACTTAATTCACGGGAGACTCTGTCAGGCACAGAGGCTGCTGGTGAAAGGTATTTTTTAGGCCTGGGCGGTTTCGTTTCGTTAATTCATAATTCGTTAATAATTCGTTAATTTTTCCAATTACAAAACGATAACGAACCATTCTGGAGCAATCATTAAAAAAACGAATTTTTAAACACGTTTTGTAAATGCTTCGTATTTCGTTATTGTATTCGTTTCGTTATTGTTCTGAGGTCGTTTCGTTATTATTTCCGCATGTCTGGGCCAGTTTTATGGTTTAATTAGTGAAAAAAAATTATAATATCACACCAACAGTCAACAACAGAGGGAGAGGGAAGCTTCAGAAGTTTTTGGAGGTTTTTTAGCGTATTTCGCGGTCGCGTCCGCCATTAACGAATCGATTCGTTATTGTTTCGAAAATCGATTCGTTAATTTTTTTACCATTTACGAAATTTCGTAAATATCGAACTTTTTAAAAGGAAAATTTTGTAATTATTTTAAATATCGAAACAAAAAAACCCCCCAAATACAAATCGATTTTAGAAACAAATTTTTGCGTTGTTACCCAGGCCTAGTATTTTTCCCCCATAGTAGTTTTAAAACCATAGTGCGTAAGTCTTTCTGCTAAATGCAGAAGCATCTTTGCTTTTCTGTATTCCCAATGTGTGACTTCTATGGCACATCTCATTTTCAGACACTCTTGCTGCTGTGAAAAGTCCTGTTTTTGCAAAATGCCAGGTGAGACCAATCATTTCTCTACTTTTCTCTCTTTCCATTCCCCCCCCCCCCAACTTCACCCTGATAATTGCTTCTCAGGCATTTGAAGGAGAAAGGACTCTTCAGTATCCGATGCCTGGCTGCTTGCCATTCAGAAGTTCTCCAGTGTAGGCTTCATGATGTTTCCTTGGCAGCCACGAAAGAGGTGGGAAACGTGTATTTAACATATGTCCATTTTGCCTTCTCTTGTGGGTTACCTGATGCGTTCCAATCTGTTTCTGTTTAATCGACATGTCTCTGAACAGCTTTGGTACTTGTTTGCACCTATAAATCTGACCTACATGCACTGAGAAGAATATGTAATTAATAAACTGTATGCCGTCAGCAAAGGAGAGTAAAAAAGCCAACATTTTGAATGGACTAAGTTGTATAAATTACATGTATTGTTACACGTCATTTAATTCTGCTTGTTTCTGAAAGCTATGGTTTCAGGGTATTTTTACCTCCCTCTGGCAAGGAGATTAGTAATGAAGCAAAAATAAATAAATAAAGGAGAAGAAGAGAGAGAATAGTACATAGAAAAATGTGTAGTAAGTAAAAGCTTCCATTATCTCATTTTTCCTGACTTTTGGAAGATCTATCCCATACTTGGAGACTTCAGCCAAAATCCTGTTGAGTTGACATATTGAATCAATTGTTAAATGGCGAGTGATCATGTACATCAGTGGTTCCCAACCTGTGGTCCCTGGACCACCAGTGGTCCACAAGAACTAAAATATGGTCCGCAGTCTCACCATTACTACACTGTTGCAACGAGAGTGACTGGTCTTGCAAAACCCTCTTATAGTGCCGAGGCTTATTAAATATAGTTTTCCATGAGTGAGCAGATGGTGAACCTATCTTTCAGGCTAGGTTATTTTTCCTATCCCTCTAAAAACAGCTTCTAACAGCTTCTAACAGAATGGGGGATGTTTTCAAGTTGATGGAGGAAGAATTATCAGTTTTATAAAGTAGCAACAGACCTACTGTTTATCCCCATATTTTTGCCTATTGACTACAACTGTGTTTGTCTTTCCTGGAAATTTGCCATAAATTGCCACTGACACCGATCCTCGGACCACTGTTTTTGAGTAGTGTAACTACCAAACTCTAGGGCAGTGGTTCCAACCTATGCTTCGTAGACCACCAGTGGTCCACAAGAACTAAAATATGGTCTGCTGTCTCACTGTTACTACACTATTGCAATGAGAGTAGCTAGTCTTGCAAAACCCTCTTGTAGTGCCAAGGCTTATTAAATATGGTTTTCTGTGGGCAAGCAGATGGTGACTACTGGAGGGCATATGTTCTGTATCAGAAACTGAATCAGCACCCCAAATAACCAAACCGAATCTAAAGTTGACCAAAAATGGATCCGTAACCCTTTTGGTACTAATGTTGGAGAGTGGTCCCTGGTCAAAAAAATGTTGGGAACCACTGATGTACATAAATCACATTTATTCAGTAGATCTACTTTACAATTAAATGCCATTATAAGTAAATCAGATTGATTCAATGGATCTAACAACAGAATTCAGGTCCTTTTTGGTTGCTAAGGGTGAGAATTTACTTAAAACAAACATTCACCAGATTGGTTGCCCAGCCTGGAGGTCAGAAACTACATTCTGCAAATATCCCTAAGATCTATCTAGTATTTTGGATTGAGATAACCCAATTACAGTCCCACATTCCTGGACAGCCCATATCAGATGCTGTGTGCGCTTGCCAGATTTTGGATTCCAGGGAGATTGTTCACCCATGGTTGCTCTGAGCAGCTTTGCTCTTTATTTGACCACTTAATGGAGAGCTTTTATTGCTATCATTTTAAAGCTCTCTAATAAAAAGCGGGAGGTAAAAGAAGCACAGGGACCATCTCTTCACTTGCTCATTGTTTGAGCAGCTGATCTGGCTGTTAGCACTAGCCAAGTTGGCAAAGTCATTAAGCCTTCTGTTACCCAGGGCAAATAATGGCTGGTCATTTGTCTATAATCTGTGGTTTCCAATTTTTTTCCTAAAATGAGAGGCGGACTCAGTCTCCAGGTTGTGGAGAAGGTTAGAACACATTCAGACTTCAGTCATCTGAATGTAGGATTCAAACACTTTTCTTACTTCCAAACATAAACATGTTTTGGGGACAAAAATCTCTACTATGAATGCACAGACATAATAATAATAAGTAAAGGTAAAGTAAAGGTTTCCCCTGATGTTAAATCTAATTGTGTCCGACTCTGTGGGTTGATGCTCATCTCCATTTCTAAGCCGAAGAGCCAGCATTGTCCATAGACACCTCCAAGGTCATGTGGCTGGCATGACTGCATGGAGCACCGTTACCTTCCTGCTGGAGCAGTACCTATTGATCTACTCACATTTGCATGTTTTCGAACTGCTAGGTTGACAGAAGCTGGGGCTGACATTGGAAGCTCATGCCACTCCCTGAATTCAAACCTGTGACCTTTCGGTCAACAAGTTTAGCAGATCAACGGTTTAACCCACTGTGTCACTAGGGGCTCCCATACTACTACTACTACTACTAATAATAATAATTTTATTTTTATACTTTGCCTCCATCTCCCCAAAGGGACTCAGAGTGGCTTACATGGGGCCAGGCCCAGTCAAACAGTAAAACCATAATGTATCTATATAAATAAAAATGTAATGTTCGTTTGTGGGATTAACATAACTCAAAAACCACTGGATGAATTGATACCAAATTTGGACACTGCACCCCTAACAGACCAACGAGTGACCATCACTCATAACCCCCCCAAAAAACAGAAGAAAGTCCTTAAAAAACCCCAAAAGCTAAATGACGAAAAGCTAAATGATGCTACAGAAAAAAAAGGGAAGGAAGAGGGAGTGAAGGAAAGGAAGGAAGGAAGGAAGGAAGGAAGAAAGAAAGAAAGAAAGAAAGAAAGAAAGAAAGAAAGAAAGAAAGAAAGAGAGGGGGAGGAAAGAAGGAAAGAGAGAAGGAAGCATGGAAGCAAAGAGTGAAGGAAGGAAGGAAAGAGGTAGAGAAGGAAGAAAGGAGAGAAAGAGGAAAGAAAAGAAAAAGGGGGAGGAAGGAAAGGGGTAGAGAAGGAAGGAAGGAGAGAAGGAAAGAAGAAAAGGGAAGGAAGGAAAGAGGGAGCGAAGGAAGGAGGGAAAGAAGGAGAGAAAGAGGGAGGGAAGGAAAGAAGGAAAGAGAAGGGAGGATGGAATCAAAAAGCGAAGGAAGGAAGGAAACAGGTAGTGAAGGAAGAAAGGAGAGAAGGAAAGAAGAAAAGGGAAGGAAGGAAGGAAGGAAGGAAGGAAGGAAGGAAGGAAGGAAGGAAGGAAGGAAGGAAGGAAGAAGGAAGAAGGGAGCGAATGAAGGAGGGAAAGAAGGAGAGAAAGAGGGAGGGAAGGAAAGAAGGAAAGAGAAGGGAGGATAGAAGCAAAAAGCGAAGGAAGGAAGGAAACAGGTAGTGAAGGAAGAAAGGAGAGAAGGAAAGAAGAAAAGGGAAGGAAGGAAGGAAGGAAGGAAGGAAGGTAGAGACGGAAGAAAGATAAGAGATAGGGAAAGAAAAAGAAGAAAGGAAGGAAAGAGGGAAAGAAGGAGAGAAAGAGGGAGGGAAGATTGGCCACAGCAACGCGTGGCGGGTACAGCTAGTACAAAATAAATCATCAGTATAAAAACAACATAAGCAACAATATAACAACAATAAAACAAGCATCAGAAACAACAACCAATTCAAGGCATATAGTTCTAGATCTGTAATATCTATAGATGTGTCTGTGGTGTCCTCCAGATGAAGCAAATGTCACAGGGATGCTGTGGTATTGGTTGCAGTACGTTTTGTGTGTATGTTTTAAAAGATCCAGGCAAATTTCTGCTAATTCCTGAGACATTTCACACCCACCCTTGAATGAGTTTCTTTTTAATCCTGAGACTTATTGGATGCATCCACATAGTAGAATTAATGCAGTTTGATACCACTTTCACAACCATGGCTCAGTTTTGGGGAATCATGGGAGGTTCTGCTTTATAAGACCTTCGTTTTCTCTGCTGAGGCCCCATCAAACTACAACTTCCAGGATTCCATAGCATTGAGCCATGGCAGTTCAAGTGGTGTCAAACCTCATTCATTCTACAATGCAGATTCACCAATTGAAACAAAAATGTTTCCTTCTCTTCTCATTCTTTCCTTCTCTTTTCTTTGTTAAATTAGTAAAAAGAGTTATAATACATAGATGAAATTGCATTCTTGGGAAAAGATTAAAAAATTCAGAGTGGTGACCAATTTTTCTTCAAACTCTAGGATCATTTCAGCAAACCATCCCCTGGGTTTTTGAAAAAAACGAAGCGCCCTTGTGTAGATCAAAGAAATTGTTACAGTCTCCCCAAACAACGGAATGAGTGGAAACAGAGGAATCTACAATAAGCAAATCCTAAGAAAACCCCAAAAGTTTTATTGTAAAACCTCATGCTTCTTTAGACCAATGTGGAACAGCCCCATCTCAGTGGGGCGGGGAGTGGATCAGGGATCCATTTGATGATCTGGAGACAGCCATGGACTTCCTGCTCATATAAAATTCTCTTAATTCTCTTAAATGCATTTTTCAAAGAACTGTAGAACTCCATAAAAGTGGGAATACTGTGAATATCTCTACCCCCCCCCACACTTTAACTCTCAATACTATTGACCACATTTAACACACAAGCTTACAGTATACATTTAATGCATTAATGACTCACTATATATCATTTGCAAATTTTTCATAGTTGATTGCAAAACTTAAAACAAATCCCACTTAATTATTGATGGCAAATTCCCAAATGATCAAATCCACAAAAGTCAAGCCTTGACTGAAATTGAAAGAAAATCCAAGTGGAAGACATCTCTAATTTTGGCACCCAGTTTAAAGGATGTTCTGAAACCCACCCATAGACATATTGCGAACTACTAGACCATTTACCATTTTAATCCAAACTCAAATTGTATTTATTTATTTGCCATATGTGTACCCCCCCCCCTTTTCATCCTTGAAGGGGAATCAAGGTGGCCTTACAACAGGCAATTTGATGCCATATGCACTATGTCCATAAAATAAACATTACTTAAAATCACACCATCCAAATAATAATCCAGGGCCATTCCATTTGTCAGTTACATTAATTCATGGTCACTTCTTGCACTACTTCAATTACCGGTCAAAAACTTGCTCCCAAAGCCACGTCTTAAGTTTTTTTCCTAAAGGTTAGGAGAGAGGGGGCTGATCTGATTTTGTTGTGAAAGGAATTCAATAGACAAGAGGCCACCACTAACAAGGTCCTGTCTCTCATCTCTACCAATCACGCCTACGAAGGAGGTGGGACTGAGAGCAGGACCTACCCGGATGATCTTAACTTCTGAATTAAGATCATCTGTTTTAAAGAGAGAGCCAGTGTGGTACCCTGTTTGAGTGTTAGACTTGGATTAGATTTTTTAATGCAGCCCCAGCAAACGTAACCTATGGGGTGAACTTGAACAAGTGACACCCTTTCAGCCTGCAATGGAATGTAATAGCAACCCCCTCTGGACAAATTTTGCCCCAAAAGGCCTATGAAAACATCACCTTAAACTAGTTATTATTAACCTGAAATTACTTAAATGTACACAAACAAAGCAAGGATATTCAGTGATACAGAGAAATAGGAATGATTTCCTTCCTCTGCAAAAAATCTTTGCTTTGGGACATGGCTACATCTTATGCTTAGGACTTTGTCTAGTTCAAAGCTTGAAAAAAACCCCCACTATTTTTTAGGTTATAAGAGTACAAAATCCCAAGCGAATAAGAAAACTGCTCACACTTGCTGGAGCATTGTGGGAATTATTTAAAAGAATACTCTTCCAAACTCTGACCCAGTTACATTGTTCATAGTCCAGGAGTTGTATTCTTGAGGTTGAAAGGGTGAAGAAATGTAGGGATGTGGGACGCACAATTTCTGGCACTTTCTGATTACTAGTGGCTCATGCTCACTTGTCAGAAAAGGCTGTTTTTGTTAAGGTGACTCTATGTGTGAGACAAGAGAAAGAGAATGACAGAAAAGGGGGCAAAAGTCAGACAAGGTGGTCTCCCATGCATAGCACTGCAGCAGCATTGTTCAGCTGCTGAAACTAATGGGAAAAAACTAACTCTGGAGGTTTCACAGTGACTATTTAGTTATTTTAGGCATTTATATGCCATCTAATAACTGAGCTTATAGGGTGGATTACAAGAAGGAAAGCAAATTAGATCAACTATAGAACATTTAAGAAGTGTGAGAGAAAACGGCTTAGAACCAAGGGAAAATTTGGACTGAGGAATTAAAAAAAAACAGATTCTCTCTGATCTTGGGATGAATTCACACAAAGGCTGTACCTCAGCTCTAGCGTTTTGGCCCGAATTGACCTTATTAAAGTCACAACATTTTAATCCAAACTAAAATTGGTCTTCTACCAACCTGAAGTCACATTGAGACAAAAGTTCTACCATATTCACATGATCATTGAACCAGATTTTGGCCACATGAGCACAATGATTGTGAGTTTTTTGTTCTTTCCAGCATGCATACGTTTTTATGTATATTTACATAAATCAATAGCCTGTCTCATTTTGCTGTCATTCGTACCTCACACCTACATTCCCATTGGCTTGTACATGGCTCCTTCACCACCCTTCTATTATCTTTTCCCTCTGAAATGCCATGACTCCTCCATCCCACGTGTGCATGTTTACATGAGCGTGTGTCTGCCTATCCACTGGGGGGAATTAAGGGGCTCTTTGTTAAGTTTAAACCAAGTCATTTTAAATTTCCCAGATGGTCTTTTCTCAAAATTAAAACTCTAGGGAGTAAAATAGTGAGTTTGTAAACCCCAATCTATTAAAAATTATAGCCCATTACTGTAGATCTATTTCATACTGGGCCCAAAAGAAATTATTTTCAAATAAGGCTATAAATCTCTGCCCTTTTACCTGTGACAAATCCCACTGATCTCAATTGGATTTTTATGAAGGAACATATCAAACTGCACTGGTCAGGTGGTAATTCATGTTGGTCATTTGTGTTTTCCTCTGGTCCTTTGACGGGCATAAATTCCTGTGACAATGAATAATTTCACCCCAACCCCAATTCAAGACAGGACACATGTGTTTTTCTGGAAACTGCCAAATATTTCTTTTTATAAAACATGCATTAAAGTCCTTAGGTTTCTAACAAAAGTGTTTTTCACTTGAAATGTCACATTTTCAACCAGGACAATGATCAAGGTAAGGGCAAATTATTTTTCAGGTGTGAATACAGCCTGGGAAAGTAAGAAGGGTGAGACCTTCGTACTTGGAAGTGGGAATGCCGAGAAATATTAAATACTCTACGTGGGGTTACCTCTAACGACTGCTCAGAAGCTCCAGCTAGTCCAATGTTCGGCAGCCAGGCTGTTCACTGGGGCAGGGTACAGGGAGTGCACAACTCCCCTGTTACGCCAGCTTCACTGGCTGCCTATTAGCTTCTGAGCACAATTCAAAGTGCTGGCTTTAGCCTATAAAGCCCTAAACGATTCAGGCCCAGTTTACCTGTCCAAATGTATCTCCCTCTACAAACCACCAAGAATGTTAATATCACCCGGGGAGGCCCTGCTCTTGGTCCCAGCCCCTTTGCAGTCATGATTGGTGGGGACGAGAGACAGGGCCTTCTCTGTTGTGGCCCTTTGGTTGTGGAAGTCTCTTCCCAATGATATTAGATCTGTCCCCTCCCTCCCGACATTTCAGAAAAAAAACTCAAATCCTGGCTTTGGGATCTGGCATTTGTGCAATAAATGGATCAACTGGGAAAATAATGTTGTAGTGGACCACAATGGACTGATTTGGATTATGTTTTGAACCGGTGAACTATTTTAAATTGAATGCTTATAATTGTGTTAATTGGGTTAATTGTAACTGTGTGTTTTAATGTACTGTTTTTTGGCATCTAATGACTGCCTGTTGTAAGCCGTCCTGAGACCCTCTTTGGCGGTGAGAAAGACAGGATAGCAATGCCCGAAATAAATACTGTATGCTAGATTTCAGAAGACAGGACTGCCAAAAACATATCTGAATAGTCCTGAAACCCTATGAAATTTGTGAAGTCTACATTGACATATAATCCAGTTCAAAGCAGATAATTTGGATTGTATATGGCAGTGTAAATGGGGCCTTAGTCCAGTGCTCAACCTGCTACATCACTCTGACTCTCTTTAAATGTATTTATTTATTTATTTATGTACTTACAGTATTTATGTTCTGTCTTTCTCACCCCGAAGGGGACTCAGGGAGGATCACAATGCATATGTATGGTTATATTTTATTGTTAAGAGAACATGAGTTACTGCTTAAAATATGGTTGAATTGTTCCCTTTTAGGAACACAGAAATGTAGGAAGCTGCTTTATGCCTGAGTCTATCTAATCCAAGGATGTCAATTCTGATTAGCAGCAGTTATCCAGAGTTTCTGGCAGGATTCTTTCCTAGCTCTGCTAGAGGCTCCTTTGCAGTACTCAGTGGTTTATTGTCCAAGTATTAGCCAGGTCTTTTTCTATTTACTTTCAGAAATCAGATTAGTCATCTGTGGCCAGGATAGTATGTATGGTGCATGTACCTATCAGCTCCTTTGTTGATTTATATCATAAAGCCATGGTGTGATTTCCCAAGGAGCCATCCCAAATCTACAGTAATTGCCCTGACCTTATCCCTTATAGATGTATGTAGATGTATGAGTCGCCTGTTTGGGCTGAAAAATGCGGTATAGAAATAAAGCAAATAAATAAATAATAGATAATTGGTATAATCATGTAACGTATTATATGTAACATTTGGACAAAGGGAGTGTCATGCCATACCATGTACTAGCAAGTAAATTAGTGTGTCTGAATTGGCAAACATGAACAGAGTTGTGTGACAGGTCAACTTTTCCTTCACCAGGTTAGCAATCTGCGGTCAAAGGTCTCTCGGTTCGCTATTGGGACGCTCAGTGAACTCTTCAAGGCCATGAAGAAGCAGATGGATCAAGAGGTTGAAGAGATTTCTCGTGTCCTTCTCCAGAAAGCGGGTGATTCTAGTGAATTTATCCAGAAAGAAGCTGACCAGTCCTTGGGTGTCATGGCACGGAGTGTGACTCCCTCACGAGCAATGGCAGCCCTCATGGCCAATGGGGTGAAGTAAGTAGAAAATCATCTTTTTATCCACATGCTTGCAGCCTTTGGATCACTTTTGTAAGACATGGTGCAAGGAAGAATTTGGCAGTTCCTGGAAGAGATAGCAACCCACACCCTTATAAGTGGTCATTGGGGGAAGGCCAATCATTGTAGAATGGAGAAAAAACATTTCAGCTCAAGGGCCAAAGCTCTTCAAAGTTATTCTGTTGGGACCCATCTACACTGACTATACTTGCTGTATGCATGCATCCAGTGTCCCATCTACACTGATTATTTAACTAGTATTGAAGAAAGTGGTTTTGCTGGGCAGATGATTACACAGGAAATCCTGGAACAAGTTTGAGGTTCAGGTATTGATCCCACAAACCACAGAGCACTGATGCACATTTGGGACTTTCTTTTGAACACTTTTGTGGGAGTTTGTTGTCTGGTTGCTACAGTTTGAAACTAGCTTTGAATTGCATTAATTGGCTATTGTAGATGGGACCCTTGAAGGCATAGGTAGAGCAAGTACAAAGGTGAGTGGCTGTTGTAGTTCAACCTGTGATTATGTCTGATGTCAATGGGGATGCTGGTTTTCCTGGGCCTGTGTCTGATGTCAATGGGAATGATGGCCTTGTTGAAAGGCCTGGTTCTAGCCTTTCTGAAAGGCCCAAGGTTTCTAATGGCTGGAGTGCTTCTCCTGTAGATTCTCAAGTTCAAATTCCTGAAAGGGGCCCACAGCAGCCTTTCTCTGGGGAACTGTCTTCTGAGAATGAATCAGGTGCAGAAGTTAATGAGTTTGAAGATAGAAGACAAGACTTTTTTAAACTAAGAGAAACTTCCCAAGCTCACCGAAGGTCAGAACCGTCTATTAGAAAATAGAGAAAAGAAGTCCTTATAAAGGCAAACAACATGTAAAGGCAAAAAAAGTTTTCCTTTCATTTCTTGAGACAGGAAAAGCTTTATATGACACAGGGAAATAATTTTAGCTCAGTGTGGTCAACTTTGAAATTTCATGATCATCTTGTTTCCAAGTGGATTTCTAGTTTCATGTTTCAAGTTTAGCCAGGTTCCTGTTCTGTGTATTGGATCTCCATGCTGTCTTGTTCTTTTGGATTTTACATCCTTGGATTTTGTGTTTTTACCTTTGTACCTTGAAGTTCATCGACTATCTGTTATCTTTGGAGAATACTGTTCTGGACTGTACTCTTTTTACCATTTTTACTGCTTGCTTACATATATCCATCAAAAAACTACTTGCTGATTTTACTGAACTGGTGTGGTATTTAAGGACAGAGGTGTCCCTGATCTGAGATACAACAGTGGCCATACCACACCTTCTCACTCCCATTTTGTTCCACACCCATTTGAACACCAAACAACTCATGCCTGACTATTAAAAATAGCTAGGCATCCATCTTTACAAATGCTTACCTGCTTCCAGAGTACTTTACCCTTTCATTATTTATTTCCTTGATACTTAATCTTCCTTCCTGTAACTTCAATGCAGTGTACATAGCATTTCTCTTCCCTACTTTACCCTCACAGCTACCCTGAGAGATAGGAGAGACTGAAAGAGAACGTTTTTCCTCTTTTTATAGCTGCTCTCCCTGACATTAGCTGAGAACTCTGATTTATTTTTTTCCTTTTTAGAGGAAAAAGATCCCCATATTTGGACTAAAAAGGGTTTGCAGGAGAGTAGAGAAGAGACTGGGTCAACTGTGATAAATTAGAATTATTACTGCTACCCTGTTCCATGTTTTCTGGTGGTCTTGGTATTTTTCATCTCACAGTTAAAAAACTTTGTGGTTCCTTCCACATTGATTTTTGTATTACAGCCACCGTAACCCTCTCATTCGTAAATGTGCTGCTGAACATTTGCTGACTGTTGTGGAGCAGATTGGAGCTGAGAAACTGCTCTCAGGCAACCGGGAGAACACTGAGGCCCTGGTGCACACATTGGTCAAGCTCGCCCAGGACCGCAACCAAGATACAAGGTAACTCCCAACAGCTTGGACTAGTCTTCATAGCTTTTTGCATAATGTAATAGTCTCTATGTTTGTCTCCTATGCTTTGATATTCTTAAAAATGATAACAAAGAAACGGATTGTATTTATTTTGGAGGACAAATAAGTATAGCTAATATATATAGAATAATAATTTAAGTTATCTGATGCTACTCTTTGAACAGAGTTAGGATTTTGCACTCAAGTCTTCTTAACTCTTCCTCTTTCTGCATTAGATTTTATGGCCGGAAAATGCTGCACATACTTATGTCCCATACAAAATTTGATGGGTACTTGAAGCAGAACCTACCCTCCCATGACCTGTGCAATGTCATGGCTGCAATTAAACAGAAAGTGAGTATGGACATGCAAGAAGCATCCCAGTAATATTTGGTGTCACAAGATCAAAGGCATCATATTATTCATTTGTTGGTAAATTATGTGCTTGGGTCCATGTGGCTCTTTTTTGATTGCTACAAAAATGTTGAAATGTATCTTTTCCAGATGGGCAAAAATATTGGGAATTTGAGATATTTGTTGTTCTATTTCTACCTTTAAAATCAAAATAATATTTTCCCCATATATGTATGTTTTGGGCTCCCCAGCTTTCCAACGTATTTCCTACCTACACAATACAAGACTTTAAAAAATTGCTTATGATGTAAAGGTGGTGCAGTGGGTTAAACCACTGAGCTGCTGAACTTGCTGACCAAAAGGCTGTAGGTTCAAATTTAGGGAGCAGAGTGAGCTCCCGCTGTTAGCCCGAGCTTCTGCCAACCTAGCAGTTCGAAAACATGCAAATGTGAGTAGATCAATAGGTACCACTTCTGCAGGAAAGTAATGACACTCCATGCAGTCATGCTGGCCACAGGACCTTGGAGGTGTCTATAGACAATGCTGGCTCGTTGGTTTAGAAATGGAGATGAGCACCAACCCCCAGAGCCTGACATAATTGGACTTAATGTCAGGGGAAACCTTTACTTACTTTACTTATGATGTAAGCTGAGACATCAAATTTTTCTACTTCCAGGATGTTTCTGCCCTGCTTAGAATCATAGATCATAGAATTGGAAGAGACTCCAAGGGACATCCAATGAATTCTCCTGTCATGTAGGAATACACCATCACAGAATTCCTGACAGATGGCCATTCAGCATCTGCTTAAAAACTTCCAGAGATGGTGATTCCACTGCTGAACAGCTCTTGCCAACAGGAGGATTTTCCTAATATTTAGATGGAATCTCATTTCTTGTATCCCTGCTCTCTTCCATCTGAATTGTGTCCTTTGGATCCTCCCCATCTCCCATAAACCTCTCTCTTAAGTGCTAAAGTGATACGCTCCAGTAATGCTATTGCTGTGCTGGAAAGGATCACTTTCTTCCCCGTATAACTCACTGTCTCATGGGGTTTATGTCTCTGGGAAAAAGAAGTATGCAAAGGCAGGAACTGGAGAAGAAGGGGGAAGCACATTATTGAAAGCTTTCCTCCATTTGAGTCCTGAAGAAAGAGAAATACGGCCTGTGAAATGAGTGCAATTGCTTCACACACAGTAACAGTCCTGGAGGATTTGACAGTGCTGAAGAGAGGAAGAAAGGCACCATTAAGCCATTAACTGAATAATGGTTGTGTGGGTGGGATTTAATCTTTTCCAGAAAGGCAATAGTTGTATTGGAACCTATAATTTAACACAAAGATTTGAGAGAGATTTCAAAATCTTTCCATTTGTAGGTGTGTGTGTGTGTGTGTGGGTTGGAACAGGAGAGCAAGAGAAACAAGAATAGGTTGCTATCAACAAAGGTTTGTTTCTTCCACCTCCAGCCCTCTATTTTCTCATGATCATCACCCCTCAAAGGGTGTTAGGCCAGGAAAGAGGTGAAAAATGTCAAGACATGATTTTTTTTTCGTGTCAGGAGTGACTTGAGAAACTGCAAGTCACTTCTGGTGTGAGAGAATTGGCTGTCTGCGAGGACGTTGCCCAGGGGACACCTGGATGCTGTGATGTTTTACCACCCTTGTGGGAGGCTCCTTAATGTCCCCATATGGGGAGCTGGAGCTGACGAACCGTGCTCATCCGCACTCTCCCCGGATTCGAGCTTCCAACCTGTTGGGCTTCAGTCCTGCTGGCACAAGGGTTTCACCCATTGTGCCACCAGGGACTCCAAGACATGAAATGATATGGGTTTAATTGACACAAGTTGCCAATCTGGATGAGCCATATAGTGTGAAAATGTTGGGACTTGTCCTGAACGCAGTTCAGTGAAAATTCTATTCTTATTGAAATGTGTTTCTCTACACAGGGAACAGAGGACCCACTATCCCAGGCTCCTTCTGCCAAAAGTCACAGAGGCTCCAAGAGCAGCAGCTTGGCAACATCGTTGGACAGCCTGCCTTCAGATGAAGGGTACGGAACAAAGCCTGCTTTTGCCTAGCAGGGCAGGGAAGCTATTTCAGACTATTTTAAACTTTGTAACAGAGCAAAAAATCTTGTGGCATATTCAAAGAACACATTTAATTTTACATTAGTTTTCATCTATTGTACACTTTGGAGGAAGTGGTGTGCAATCCACGGAAGCATGTGCCAAATAAAATGTGTTGATCTTTAGGTGTCACCTTCTTTTCTGCAACTTTTGATTATAGAGATCACACAACTGGCACACAGTGAAGTAATTTTTGCTTTGTTAAAAAAAAAACTCCTCAGTTGGTTGTTTTATGTTGGCTGTGAAAAAGCTATAATCAAAGAAAGAACTCTTCAGCTTTTTTTGGAAAGCTGTGTTTATGTGATGTGCTTCCTTTAAAAAATAGTCTTTATAGTTGCAGAAAAGACTACTTTTTTATACAGAACACACACACAGGCATGCAGTAAACAGTCACTCAGAAAAAGTTCTGCTTCCTTTCCAAAAAAAAAAAAAACCCTGTCCCTTTCTGCTTGGGTCATGAGGTACTCTTGGGACCAGACTTGAGCCAAGCAGAAGATTTGGAGTGTAATTAAGGGCAAGAAATGAATTATTTACATTAACATAATTATATTTTGCTGCAATGAAATGATAGAGGGAGAAACACTTGTGCCTCTGGTGTCAAAATAGTATGATTGGCCTTGAGTAATATGAACCTTGGCTCTACCATGTGGGTGTATGCGATATAGGAAGGGTGAAATTAGAACATTGCCTCCCAAATATGAAAATGAAGGTACTGCCTTGCTCCCCACCGAACCCGGATCTCCAAATTTCAATAAGACACTGAAAACTATTCATATGTGTATACAGTGTTCATCCTGTGTTACTTTGACTGGCCCCCTTTTCTTTCGATATGTAACTGTATTTCTAAATGCTTATCTGACATTTTATTTTAATGCAATAGTAGGAATTTGGGGATGGAAAAAGGTTTCATGGATGGGAAAGAAGTCTTACCAGGGGGGAACCCAATGCCCTCTCACCTTGCCCCATAGTTACACCTGATTGCTTTTCTATCCAGGTAAAAAGACACCTTGGACTAATCTAGTCTCCTCCTCAGCTTTCCATCCCTCCTGGACTTTCTTTAGCTTTCCCATCCCCCCCCCCCCAATAATAATCATATAGCCTCTGTAAATTAGAGCATTGTTTCTGATTTTCCATTAGTATTTTTTCCATCAAGTAGTTTTCTAGAAGAGCACAATGAAAAATAATTTCTTTCTTAACCCCAGGTCCATTTCTATAGCTCTGCCACAAACTATGGCTCGACGAACCTCCCTCCGCAGCATTGAAATGATGGAGCAGCTTAGGGAGCTGAACAAGCTACTGATGGCAAAGGAATTTCAGATCCGAATGAATGGAATCACATTGCTCATGGAGTACTGTGAGAACAACCCCCAGCTTGTCTCCTCAAACATTGTACAGGTACTCAATTGGAGCATCCTATTCACTGAGACTGGATTGGGTTAGACAAATATTAAATTTTAGTTTTAGTTTGGGCTCTTGTGATTTTTCCTTCTAGGGTTTGCAAGGCTACCCAAACTTGGGATTTTTATGAAAGGCAGTTCTCTAGTGCAAAGGGACTTAAACCGGTGAGCGGGAAAGAGTGACTGGGTTCTGGATAGGATAAGTTTTAGTCTTGAAAACATTTCAGTGCAAACTACACTCTACTCCTAGTAAATACGGAGTGTGATTTTAACTGCTCATAGAAAAAACTGGGTCTACATGTAAAAATTGTTGTGGTTTCCCATTAATAGCAGCAAGTGGCTGAGAAGCTGAAGGAAACTAAATAAATTACATTAATAAAGGATCCTCCCTTCATGGGACTATTCCATGTCCAACAAAATTATCTATAGCCACCAAAATATATTTACGCATTTTCTGTGTTCTCCAGCATGAGAGATGTCCTCGTGGTTTGGCGGGAGGTCCTTCATTTCAATAGAGTTAGCTATTCTTCATTGCTTCTTCTATCCATGCAAAGTTCAAATATGTATTTCCTGTGGATACAGTGTTGTACTATAAATTAGATAAAGTTCACTCCACCTGAATGTGCCAGCCAGATCTTGGGGAGAAAAAAACTTGAAACAAAACAGAAATTCCTCCTAGCTTCCCTCCTGAAGGTTTTTGGGGTGCATCTCTCTCTTGCACTGGGTAATTATGGTAAATGCAAAACTGGTTTTCTTATACGGCGATGAAAACACTGTATTGCTTTTATATAAAGACTTGTAACTACCAGTATTTGGGATGGGTCTTCTTTCACGTGCCTTTGGTAAACCAAATAGCATTCCGTTTATAGCAGAATTTGTTTGTTCTTATTTTAATACACACAGATCTTTGATGTATTTACTCTGAGACTCCAGGACTCCAACAAGAAAGTGAACCAGTATGCATTAGAATCAGTTATCTCTGTGATCCTCATCCTTAAAGATGGCTTAAACCCAGTCCTGGTATCAGTGGTGGCTGTGGTCACTGACAACCTAAATTCAAAGAATTCTGGGATTTACAGTGCAGCAGTGAAGGTGTTGGACACAATGATCACACATTTAGGTAATTGCTGTCTTTCCTTTTTTATATTATAGTTATCATTCTGTTTCTGACCATCAAAATGTAGCTGTGTTTGTTTCCATAGAATGACCTCTTCTGAAACAGTTACAACCACATCCCACGAGGAAATTTTATCATCCTGCCACCCCAGTTGAGTAACGGAGCCCCATGCTGCTCATCACATGATGTAGTCTCACTTCTGGTGGGCCCCATTGCTCAACTGGAACGGCAGCATGGTAGGACTCTCCGCCACCAACTTAGGACCTTTCCCATGTTCCATTTGTGATGGGGAAGCATGACTGCTGGCCAGGCGGTGGAATTGTCTTGCCGATTCGCCATGGAGACTGGCAAATCAAAGCAGGGTGACCTCATCAAGAAATGTTGCAGGCTTAATATTAAATATTTTAAAACAGGCTGTGATAATGAAATATCACCCCCAAACTTCAGATATCTCCATAGCTATATTAGGCAAAATCCCAGCTCAGGTGACAGAAGATGGGAGCATGGTTTTGAAGAAGACAGAATATAGTTGCATTTGGTGGGAACGAGAGATAGGGACTTCTCTGTGGTAGCCCTTTGTCTGTAGAACTCCCTTCCTATTGAGATTAGATCTGCCTCATTCCTCCTGAACTTCTGGAAGAAACTCATATCTTAGTTGTGAGATCAAGCATTTGCAGAATAGACTGATTTAGTGGTGAAGATAAGGTTTTAGTGGATTGCAATTGGACTGATTTGGATGACAATTTGAACTGGCGAATTGTTTTAATGTATATTTATAACTCTTTTTAATGTATGCCAATTCTATTTCATGCTATGTTATTATATTGTGTCGGCATCAAAGAGTTTCCTGTTGGAAGCCGTCCTGAGACCTTCTTTGGAGATCGAGAAGGACGGGGTATAAATGATCTAAATAAATAAATAAATAAAATTGAAAGGGACTACAATAATCATTCAGTCCAATTCCCTGCCATGCAGGAAAACACAATCAAAGCACTTCCAACAGGTGACCATCCATCCTCCACTTAAAAACCTCCAAAGAAGACGACCATACTCCAAAGCAGCACATTCCATTGCTGAACAGCTCTTACCATCACAAAATTATTCCTAATGTTTTCTTGAAATCTTTTTTCCTGTAATTTGAATCCATTGCTCCCTGTCCTAGTCTCTGGAGCAGAAAACAAACTTTGCTCTTTCCTCAATATAATATTCTCTAAAATATTAAAACATGGCTATCGTGTCACTTTTTAACCATCTCTTCTCCAAGCTAAACATTCACTAAGCCACTCTACCTAGGAATTGGCTTCTAGTCCTTTGACCATTTCAGTCCTCTTCCCCTGAACACATTCCAACTTGTCAATATCCTTCATGAATTGTGATGCCCACAACTGTCCATGATGTTATTCCAAGTGAGGTCTGACCAAAGCAAAATAGAATAAATATTAGAGGCAAAGATGAAGTACTTTGGCCACATCATGAGAAGACAGGAAAGCTTAGAGAAGACAATGATGCTGGGGAAAATGGAAGGAAAAGGAAGAGAGTCCGAACAAAGGCAAGATGGATGGATGTTATCATTGACTGGCTTGATTCTGGAAGAGCTGGGGATGATGATGGCTGACAAGGAGCTCTGGTGTGGGCTAGTCCATGAGGTCACGAAGTTGGAAGCAACTGAACAAATAAACAAAAACATGACTTCTATTGATCTAGAATTAAAGGAAGAGGAACTTCCCAAATTATCCACCTGTTGATCACATAAACTATTCAGGTATACTGTGGAGGATGGTAGCTTTAACTGCATAAACAGATTTCATAAACAGACACCTGTTGCATTGAGAGGTAATTAGAAAACTGATCAGCAAAGATATCAGAATCAAATCAACACAGAGCATTGTTTATTGCTCTAGAGTAAGAAATTAAAATGAGCTTTTCAGTACAACCATTACCACTATCTAATATGTCTGGGTGGAAACTGGGAGAGGACCTATTGACTGGAACTCCCAACAAATCACCATCCAACCTCCACTTAAAACTTCTGGAGAAGGAGATCTAGACACTATACTGTACTCCTGTTAATGCCTCCTAGAATCACCTTGGCTTTTTAGGCTACTGCATCACACTGTTGACTCATGTCCAGCTTGTGGTCAATTAAGATTCCTAGTTGTACACTATGTTGTCTGCCCTGAATCTGCCAAGCTTTGTCTGCTGCTTCCAGGTGTTGTGGATGACACATTTTCATTGTCCTTATTGAAGAAAGACTCAGCTATCAATACAGATGAGTTTAGAACACAGAAGGGGATAGAGGTAGGAAAGTTAATAGAAAGTGGATAACACATTAAATTAATCATTGATATGATACAAAAATCTAGTTCAATTATGCTTATCTTAAAAGAAAGACTTTAAAAAAAGAAAATTAATTTTTCATTCATATTTCAACTTACATTACTTTCCAATACTACATTCTAAGAATGAAGATGAAAAATCTCACCTGAGTTTATTCTCATTTCCTGCACCTCAGTTGTTCTTGTTTTTATACTTGCATAGGAGGAAACAGCTGCTTGAAGTTTAGAAATCCTTTTCACCTCTTGAGAAACTCTTTCCTTTGAATTTCCTTTTGTTAACTTCTCATTTTTTTTTAAATTTCCTGTGTATTCTTATGGAATCCATTATGATTAAGAGCTTCCAAACTCAGTTTCCTGGGACTGATGGGACCCTGTGAACCAAGGATGAGGAGAAAGGTGCCCTCACCCATTGTAGTACATCCCAAACCTGCTTACAGGTGAAAATTTCCCCCTAAAATGTCAGGTCCTCACCTGCTAATCATCCTTTCTGGAGGCCTTCAAGAAAGGAACCTCTCCAAAATCTTCCTTAGATCCCCAAAACTCCCAAAGGCTTAGCGGTCTTCTGGTGACTTCCAAAGGAGATGGAGGAGTTTATAAATGCCCTGTCCTGAATTCCAGATCCTAGGATTCAATGTGATGTTGCCATAGGACTAAACGTTTAATTTCACACTATAACTGCACTGTGTAAATCCCTTGGTGAGGCATGAAGCATCACCTACACTGCCACATAAAATCCAGATTTTCTGCCAGTGTATACTCATATAATCCAGTTCGAATCAGATAATCTGAATTATATGGCAGTGTAGATCCAGCCTGATAGCTCTGTAGCAGAGAATTCTAAGTACTCCTCCATATAAGTAGTAGATGCCAAAGGATGAAACCATGGCCATTAGAGTGGAATCATAGCATTATAATAGTGTGACAAGTACCCCAGTGTTAAGACTGCTGTCTTTTTACATCTATCATTCTTAAGGGTTCATAGTGATATGTTCTCTCTCTCTCTCTCTCTCTCTCTCTCTCTTTAACACAGTGTTTTGCCCTACTTTTCAATGCATACAGCAAACCCATTCCTGGGGCTATAAATCCATCACCTTTCAACTCTACTAAGGTCTTACAGGAAAAGAAATGTTATATATGTGAAGTGGAGGCAATTGGGGATCTGAGAGATAGCCTTTGCAGAAAGGGTCATAGGAGGACAAGCCAAAGGCTGGCAGAGGATAACCTCATTAAAAACTGATACGGTGCAGTGGGAGTATGTCCTAGGTGACCTGTGATCTGTTAAGATCTGAGACATATTGCTCTTAATGGGACATTTGGAGAAGTTTGATTACAAATAGAATATGGGGTGCAATACAAGCTGCTGTGAAATAGAGGTCACATCTGCCCATGCTTTAGAATTGAGGCAGTATGTTTCTACAACATGTAACATGAAAAGCAGGATAGTCAATATAGAGGTCATTACAACATACAGTGACTATTATGTCAAATTATAGGAAGGGACTCCACTTTTCATGTTACATCTTATACACTTCAAGATGAGAGGTTCTATCCGGCTATCTTCCTCTCGTGATGATTTTCTAAATATACAGAAATGTATTTTAAAATGTGGTGCTCTTCATCCTGTGTTCTTAATGGCTAAAGTTCATTATACCACATAATTCTATATTATATATATCCTATATCCTATATTAAGACTTCTGAGTACCTGAAAGTTTGCATAGTATTTTCTGACCTTTGAGTTGATGTAGTAAAGGTTATACCATGGATTAGCACTGAGATTCTTTGAAGGTAGTGTGTGTGTAAGTTTGTGCACACATGTATAAATATGAATTTGGCTGGTGTCATCTTTCAACTCTCCTCAGATGTGTGTCTATGAGACTGTAATGATGAGCACATAGACTTTGGTGTTTACCACTGTACCATGGTTTACAAGTAGCCTCGTTGTCACCTGTATCCTCCCCTCAAAATGTTTTGTCATGAAAGTTTCATCCGATCTGTCTGGACTTCCTATTGAATTATGTCTATCTCGATTTGGAGGACATTTCTCCCAATAAGCTTATTCTGAGCTGGCTTCATGAAAGTCCTAAATTATGAGCTTCAGTTAGCCCCTTCTCCTGTCTCTAGTCCATAAATATCTCTAACATGCACTCTTCGTTTTCCAGGAAAATTTACGGTTTACTGAGTTCATTTCTGAAGAACAAACAAACATAAATTCATGTCAGAATGACGACTTGCTCCAAATGTTATTTTCTGTAGGCGGAAATTGCAGTTGCCAATAACTACATAACCAAGGACTGCTGTAAATCCCAACCCATGTGGATTTATGTCAATTTAGAGACACAGTATTGGGTGAATGGTATAGAGTGTTCAAGGATCACGACAGACATTTGAGCTAATATATAGGGGTAATATGAAGTAGACTAATATTCATACTTATAAGATCTCTAAGGGCAAACCATCTCCGTATTAAACAGTGTGAATGGGAATAGAAATGAATGTCTTTCCAGTTCTGATTTCTAGTGACAGTGGAATGGATGAGAATGATTTTCTTGTAAAATATAGCTTGATTCACTTGCTTAAGCTCTTTGGATTCTTCAGTTCTTTGGCACAGGACTCCACAGCCCAATTCTAGAGAAAGACAGTGCTGATTAAATTATTTTATTTTATTTTAACGAAAGTGGTTCTGGCATAGCAACATTTGTATGAAGCAGGACTATTGAGATTTAGGAAGCAATTGATCCTTGTGCATATTCAGATTTTGGAGCAAAACTGTTCTTTTTGCCTGACTGGGATTATTTGTCTTCTCTCATTGCTTTAGGAGTCATTATAGTGTAGGGGGTCAGTATGTGAGTGGATGTTTGAATTTCCATGACCGCATTCATGGACTAGATTAAATGTATCTTACCCCATCTCCTTAAGTGTATGGAAAGGAACAACCCTCTCATTTTGCCTTGATTGTGGAATGGCTACTTTACTTAAGTTTTCTGTCTTAATTTCTAGACAGAAAAATATGCTCTCTCTCATGTTTGAACAGAAAGCAATTGTGAGCAGCAAGTGACTCAAATGCCTAATTGATATTAGGGGACCATCCCTAGTTATCTGGTTTTGGCCCAGAAGTTTCAGGATTGGTGATAATCCTGAATTTGTAATTCTAATATTTGGAAAAGTACTTTTTGGACTACTGTTTTATAGTCTGAAATAATGTTTCTAGCCTCTACTTTATCCCCTCTCCTAAATTGCCTAGAATTGCAATGTACACACAATCACAATGCAGGGGATGCAAACTGCAGTAGGCGACACCATCCAGGATAGTAATATCAAAATGACTGTTTATAAAAATTGTGCCATGTTTCAGTAGAAATTTATTATTGTTTTTAAAATAACAATATCCCCGGCTTAGTGAGCTTTCCTTCTTGTCAAAGTTGGATGCATTTCTTCCATCTTTCCCCACACCATGGGCATGTTGTCCCTTAAACTCTAACTAACTTTCTTAGTTGTCTTTTGGCACAGAACCATATAACCTTAGTCCCACACCACCTTTTCAGGTAGATCAGTAGTTCCCAATCTGTGGTCCATGGACCACCAGTGGTCTGCAAGAACAAAAATATGGTTAGTGGCCTCACCATTACTACACCGTTGCCTTAAAACCATGCAGCAACAAGAGTGATTGGTCTCATAAAAGCCTCTTATAGTGCCAGGGCAGTGGGGATGTTGGGTGGAGAGAGGCTGACTACCTATGAAAGATTACTGCTACCACATCAGTTCTAAATTATTAAATATGGTTTGCTGTGGGTGAGCAGATGGCGACTACTAGATGGCATATATTCTGTATCAAAAACTAGAGCTGATGAGGTCTAAAGTTGACCAAAAACTTTTGGCACTAATTTTGGAGAGTGGTCCCTGGTCAAAGTGGTCCCTGGTTAAGTGGTCCCTAGTCAAAAAAAAAGTTGAGAACTACTGAGTTAGATGTATGGTGACACTGACTCTAGTGATGCCAATTCATGCCTACATTTTCCCACCTGAAATTGGCAAACCACCTTTGAGTATTCCTTGCCTATAAAAACCCTATGAAGTTCATGAAGTTACCATAAGGCAACAGGCAACTAGAAGGTATATACACAATGTCTTTCAAGGACCATAAATCCATCCATATGGATGTAGCAATGGTGACTTTCAGTGGAGCTATGATGATAATAATGATGACGACAACAACAACAACAACAACAACAACAACAACACTTTATCTATATACTGTCCTATTTCCCTGAAGGGACTGAGGACAGTGAAGCTGTTTTTAGATAGCACTGCAAAATAGATACAACATGTAGAAAACCTTTGAGAAAATCTAGACAAGGCAAAGGAATATGTTAAAGTCACATATGCCACATGCTTTTTCTTCTCCTTTTTGGAAAGCCTCTTTGAAGCTAAACTCATACTAGTTGCTTATAGGTCCTTTCATGGATAGCAAAATGCACAGCCTGTCTCTAAATGACAAAAGAGAGAGAAGTACACATGTACTGCACTTACTTTAAAACAGAATTTCAAAGGCAGATTTAAAGGTGACCAGAAATCTTTATCGATACTAATAAGGGAATAATCATTAATAATTAATACCCTGCCAGGTTCCTTTACTTCTTGCATTAGCACTTCAAAGCATTTATTCATCTTGCTGAAGCTAGCAGTTATTCTTTTTCATTCATCATTGAAACAACCATGTTGGCTGGCTCAGCACACGCATCATCATCCATCGGAAAACAGAGAATGTAAAACAGAAAAATGGATTTTCTGTTCTCTGTTTTGTCAGCTTCGTGGCAGTTGACTCTTGGCTGCATAAACTGTGAAGGGTCAAGCATTTTAAGAAAAACAGTCTGTTAGTAAAACAACAAAGCCTTTCATAATAACTTGCTCGCTTTATTTGTAGATCTATTTCATTCCACCATGGCGATTTGGAATGGTTTGCCAACTTAAAAACAGCTTATATAAGATATACGCAGTAAAACCAAGTGAAACAAAACATATTTGGAGACAAGAATGTGGAACGTGTGGCTTTCTAGATGCTGTTGGACGACAACCCTCATCGTTCTTCACCATTAGTTCTGCTGATGAGGGCTAACTGGAAGTTGTATTCGGACAATATTTGGAGGCCATTCATTCTAAAACTCTTGCACGTTAAAAACTAGTTTGGATAGATATGTTTCATATTGTACTTCATTGTGGTAACGACGAGCCCTTCCATACAGCTCTATATCCCAGAATATCAAGGCTGAAAATCCTACAATATCTGCTTTGAACTGGATTATCAGAGTCCACACTCAGATAATGTGGGATTTTTTTGCCTTGATATTTTGGAATATAGGGCTGTGTGAAAGGTCCTTATGTAGCATAATGTGACCCAACACATGTTGTTAATCCATAACTCCCAGCAGATCTAACCAGCAGAACCAAAGTAGAGGAATACTTGGAGTTGCACTCCAATATCCCTTCAAGGCAATGGGAAACCTCTCTAGAAATATTGCCAACAAGACCTAAAGGAAGCTTGCCATAAGGCAGAAAAGATCTGGCGACACATTATAGTAAATAAAGGCTGTTAAAATTTGTCATCTGAAAGATCTTGAAAGCAACTGATATTGGCCGGAATAAATCATCCTGAGATAGGGAGACCAATGTCTTGACTCAATATAAGATGACACTTGGTTGCTATTGAATCCTACATGGCCATAAGATTCTCATAATCTGAAAATTTGGGGAAACATCGTCAGTTTTTTAAGCAGATTGCAAAGAATTAAAATCTATATTATGCATGGAGGGTTTGGGCGCACTAGAGGGCAAAGATGGATTAGGGAATTTATATATTTATTTACCTTATTTATACCCTGCCTTTCTCAACCCCAAAGGGTACTCAAGGCGGCTTACATATAGGCAATTATTCAATGCCTTAGAGCAACATACAATTCTAATAAACATTAAAATTAAATTTAAAATTAATACATATCAAACATTTAAAAACATTACATTCAATATTAAAACCACACCATTCATAATCGTAGTCCAGGGCCGTTCCAATAGTCATTGCACATATTCCATATTCCACTATTCTCTGAAGGCTTGATCCCAAAACCACATTTTCACTTTCCTTCTGAAGGCCAGGAGAGAGGGAGATGATCTAATGTCACTGGGGGGGGGGGGTTCCACAGCTGAGGGGCCACCATTGAGAAGGCCCTGTGTCTCGTTTTGAAGTTCACTTCCCAGAGCCATAACGTAGCTGGCTTTCACATTTATGCAATCTGTTGCTATGGGGTGACCCTGACTATCTGTCCTTCCCAGTGTGAGAATGTTAGAATTGCAGTGTAAGGGTTAAAATTCCTGCGAAACTAAGTGCGTGTCTGCCCCAGTTGTATTTCACACTAACGTTTCATATGTGAAACTACCAATACTTTCCTTACTCCATTTGGAATTCTTTTCTATATCCCACTATGTGTAAGTCAGCACCCAATGCTTCAACAGGATTGTCCTTCATGAGACACATTTTACTCTTGTCAGGAGTCTGGAGAGATAGTCTGCTGGGTCTTTCATTAGATGGATATGTTTTAGGTGCAACCAAAGATGCTGTTTGAGGTTCACCATTATACCTCTAATGTATAGCAATGATCTGTATGTGTACAGGGGCCTAAACAGCTCCATTGTCACAGAGGGGAAAATGCTCATATTACAATACTTTGTGGTGCTTCAAAACACAATTCTTTAATTGTGCTCAATTCACCCATGAGTTGTATTTGCCTGTATGAGATGTCTTCAAGAACTGGGAAGCGAGTACCTCCTTGACTCTTTCTTTTTAAAAAAGGGGGCACTTTGACTCATGTACTGTGCAATACAAATAATGTTCTTTCCACCCACCCACCCCCATCTTCTTCTTCCTTCATTGGCAATAATTTTCACACACAAATGTTTCTGTCCCTTTCAGATAATCTTTTTCTGCTTCAAACGTTTGCCAGCAGGGTGCGTTTCATCGGTGGCCAAGCTCTGCAGGATATTACAGATCGCCTGTCAGGTAACAAACAGACTGTACACAGTTAGGAGTTTCTTCCAAATGAACAAATCAATAACTCAGATAACAGCAGGAGGCAAAGGGCTTCTTTCTTCACAGCAAAATGTCTTGTATTGGCATCTACACCTGTTCAAATTGGGGGCGAAGGCTGCATCTCATCTTTTCCCGAGAGCGAATGTGCCAACGTTCATTCTTTTTGGACGCCTTCTGATTTGTTGGTACAAGAGTGTTCCAAACTCCTGTGGTGGTGCTTGAGTGCTGGCCTACTTCTGTTTATGGCTGGCTTGAAATGATAACAGCCATTCCAAAGCTATACCATCTGCAATAAAATGTATGTTCTTGATGCATCCATCTTTGGGAGGAAACAGTTAAGAATGTCCTGCAAAACCATAAAAATGGTTTATTCAGAAGCAGACCTGTAGAATTGGGTGTGTGTATGTCAGGGATTAACAATGCATTTCTATCTGTGTCTAAGAGTTCTCAGCAGGACTTATACTCAAGGAATGCACTGAAGAGTCAGTGTGAGCCATTTCACAAATCCATTATTGAGTTTTGCAGTTTTTGGACTGAATGATTGTTTTGTCACCTAGTCTTGGTCTGATGTGATACATTTATTTATTTATTTCGAACATTTTTACCCCGCCCTTCTCAACTCCTGGGGGGACTCAGGGCGGCATCCAATTGGCAATAATTCAATGCCGCATCATAAAATACAGAATAACAAATGTAACAATTAAACATGAACATTAATAAATAAAGATTAAAACAGTATACTTACACTCTGATTAGCTATTGCTAGTCTGGTGGCTGTTTAGCTAGCTATCTACTAATGATTACTCCACTTAACTTATCCAAATCCATGGCTGTTGTACCGCATGCCCCTCCTTTCCTTCCTTTATTTTTCATGTCTTTAATGCAATATTTGTTGTGTTCTTCAAATTACAATTTCCTACTTCATCTCAGCTAGGAAACTCTTATTTACATATTTGACTACATACCAGAGCATCAAGGGCGTATACACTATAAAGCGGACTTCTAATACGCTGTTTAAATTTGGAGATTAAACTGAATTTCATGGCTCAGACGTAATAGAAAAAGAGATTTAATGAACTCTGGATGGGTGAGAGGTAGAAAGAAATAAGATGTAGCAATGCTGTTTCCTTGTCTGATAATTACGAGTTCATATGAAAAAGCTCTTGCACATACAGAGTGCAATAAAAGTGACATTTTAGGGTTAAGAGCAAGCCCAACCTCTTCAATCAAGACAATATATTTATATTTTCAAGTACAGTAGTACACTAGTGAAGCAGGTTTCTGCGCTATTGGGGGGGGGGTGTCTTTTTTTATACTTATTCTATATTCTTCATTCATACTCAAGGTGCATTACAATAACATTAAAATATTCATAAATTTTAAAATAAGAATCTAAAACATGTTTTTAAATAGAATCATAGAATTAGAAGGGACCACAAGGGCCATGTAGTTTAACTTTCTCCCATGCAGAAATATATAGATGACCTCCAACCTCTGTGTAAAGACCACCAATGCAGGAGAACTCTTTTGTGGTACTCTGCTTTATTCACAGACAACTCTTATTGTTAAGTGCTTTTATCTAAAGTGTATGTTTGAACTAATGGTTTATGTCCAAGAGTCTGGAACAGCAGAAAGCAAGCTGCTATGCTGTCCTTTCAGATATTTAAAGTTCTCAGCCTTTAGTTAACCAAGCTAAACATACCCTAAGCCATTCCTTATAAGACTTGGTTTCCAGGCCTTTGGGGGCACATCTAAGTACATTAACTCTATAATTCAGCATGGTAATGGTTTCACTGTGTGGGTGATTAATGCCATGCCTGGAACTGGTTTGAGACTAGGGCAGTGATTACATTGAACATGGTCTGTAAACACTGCGCAAGTTTTTTTTTCATATTTCCTGCAGAGATTTACATCAGTGCACCAGAAGCATTCAGGATATCTTAAAGGGAAAGTGACAGTTAAGAGTATAAGAGTGGTTACAGACAGGCAAAAGATCTGAGAGGAATTGGGATTTTAAATCCCAGTTCCTCTTGGGATGGAGGCCACACAGCTGGTCTGAATTCTAGGGTTTTGCAGGAGGTGTATCCAGATAGGGGTAGGTATTCGCACTGCCAGCCTCGCCCTCCCTTCCCCACATTTTCCCCTGCACTTACTAGGAGAAGACCCCATAAGGCTTGAAAATCTTTTCCCTCACTGCACCCTCTCTTTCGGTAGGTGAGGGGGGATTTCTGCTCCAAGGTCCTCTGTTGGATCTTCCAGGAAGGTGGAAGAGGAAGAGAGGCAAAGGCTTCAGTCCCTTCCACTCAGCCCTATGTCCCAGAATATCAAGGCAGAAAATCTCACAATATCTGCTTTGAATTGAGTTACCTAAGTCCACACTCAGATAAGGTGGCATTTTCTGCCTTGATATTCTAGAATATAGGGCTGTGTGGAAGGGCCCCTAGAGCAACATCTAATGCTCTTATAGAGGGACATCTAATGCTTAAACTTGACTTGGTCACAGATTGGAAGCTAATGAAGTTTTCAAAGCTAGGCTGTTATAGATAACTGATGATTACAAAAGTTGAGCAGATACTTGAATTCATCCTTATCCTTTGTCTCTTGCATGTCAGTTCTTGTGGCTTTGGCTTATCCACGGAAACCTCAGATTGTGGAGCGTCATGTCCTTCCTGTTCTCTGGTACTTCCTGAACAACATGATTGGCAATGGGATATTACCTGGAAAGAGCGGGAATGTGAGAACTGTGGTGTCTAAACTGGCTAAGAGCCTTCACAAGCAAATGGGACTCAAGCTTATTGAATATGCCTCCAGCCATCCGCAACATGTGATTAAACTCTTGCAGGACCTTCTAGATGCAGACCTCTAGTGAAGAAGGCCAATGTTCTCTGGGACCATGTACAATGTGCCACTTCACGAGACAGGGAAAACGAAGTGATGGACATGATGCAGAGCTTGCCATTATTTAATTATGCTATTTTTATTTGATCAACTTCATATAGTAATAACTCACCATGGAGAATGTATATAATATTTTTGTAGTAGAAGTAAATCACATATTTTTCTAAGGCTTAATTTTCTAAAACTTTGATGTGTTAATCATAGTAATTTCACAATTATAATTCTCATATGTATCATAATAATATTGTTTATATAATAAATGTGTATCAAGGAAAGGATGGCAAAGATGAGCCTCAAGGCCAGAATTTTATTAATAGTCCCAAGTAAAGAAGACCCACTGAATTACTATGGTTTACATAAGTGTTGATTCGCCATTCATCAATTGATCCAATAGGTGTATCTTAGATGTGATTATCAACAGAATTGAAGTCTATATCATGGACAATACATTCTACTGTAGTAGTTTGCTAATGCAATAGATTGTACATTACATGGGCATCCATTGGATCTGATTGTGTTTTTCTTCTCTTAGCAGATTTCAAGTCAGAACACATTTTTAAAGGACCCTGTGGTCTCCTCCAACTCTGTGATTCTATAAAATAGCTCAGTTCTTTATCTTTCTACAGCAGAAATGACAACCATGATCTTTGGATGGATGGGGTGGGGATAATGGAAATATCTGAATAAGAACCAGTTTTTTTTTGGGGGGGGGGAGAATGGGTAACTCACTAAATGTTTTAACTGCAGATTCCCAGCAACCCTATATGTTTATTAATTGTAATTCCCACCAAGCCTATTTAACATAGCCAGTGCTGTCTGAAATCTGCAATCTACTAACATCTGGTGCATGGAAATTGCTCTCCAACAACATCTGGAGGAACACAAATTGCCTACTTCTGAGCAAAATGAACAGAGATGTGATATTTAGTTACTGTTTCAAGTATTAGTGAACATAACCTTAATTTCAGGTGTTAGATTAGGATGGCCTCTTAAAATGCTAGGCACACCAATCTGGCGTTCCTGAGATTTCAGAATTGCTCGGAGCTAAGAATAATCTGAGTGGAGTAGCCATCTGACAGCTACAAGATTCACATCACAAGACATTAATTTCTGTTTTATTCCAGAGGCCTAATACTTTGTTTACGGATAAACCTGTATTATGCAGGCTCGCATGATTAAATGGAGCTTCATACAAATAAATGCTTACAAGAAATAAATCAGAATTGAAAGGAAACAGCAAGTAGTCTCAGAAAACTGGACTTTTTATTAGCAAATTTACTAGCAATCCAGTTCAAACCATTCCTGTAATCCCTAGTTATCAAGACAGTCATGACAAATGGAAGACAAATGCATCACAGGTTGAAGGACACAGCCCAGCAACTATAATGCGATTATAAAAAGTAATATAAGGGTTTCTTTAAAAAAAACCCTTATGCTGCTTTTGCTAATTCATTAAAATATCAATTCATCTAGTTTTCCACTGTGAGCCTCCTCTAAAGGACTGATGCACAACATTTACATTATTCTCTGTTAAAATGTAGTTATTCCAAAAGCACCATTTTGAGACATGAGGAATTTGTTGAAATTAATACACAATGACAATAAATATTGTCTCAAAATTTGTAAGGCGTGGTGCAACTGAATAAATTAAAAACATAATCCAGAGCTTGGAATACTTACTAAAAATGTTACTGTTTGTCCAATGCATTTTTTATTGATTTCTCACCAATTATAAATGTTCATATGCTATTAGAATACTTCTCTCAATTGTATTTTCTTTTCTTTTTTTTAAAAAAAGCTAATATAAATAAATGAACTAAAAATGGCACCAAGATCCCTTTGCCCCCATCAGTGTATGTACGTATACATATAATTTTTAAATCATCACCAAGATCCCTTGAAACTCTCTATAAGTAAAATTTTCATTGAAAGTGAGAAATCTTTGAAAACCATGCAAGTTTTTAAGGCTACTCACAATTCAGGACTTAATTCTGTGCAAAATTCACATGTGGGTTTTTTTTTGTTCAGAAAAGTATTTTCTGTGCAGGAAACCATATTCGCTACACAGACAACAATGTTTCTATGCAGAAATGTGCTTGTATGTTCCGGAAAAACTTTCTCCTGTGCAGAAAATGGTTTCTGTATAAATTCTATGCAGGGTAAGTTTTTCATTGTGGTATTTTCTGAGGAATCAACAGCTTCTTCAAATTTTTCCCCAGTATTTTTGCTGTAAAAATATTATTTGCTGTTTCATGTGTAGAAAAAGATGTTTTGTGTACAACATAAATATAGCATGTTCCTCATTGGAAAGATTCTTGTTAGTCAAGGAAGTTTTTCCAAAAATGTTTTGAATATATTTTAATATTCTTTCAATTCCTACTTCTCTTCCCTTTGGGGGGGGGGATTTTTTTTTTTTTTACTGGCATTGACATAATAAATCAAGGGTGGCTGTCATGCCCAAATGGAGTTCTAAATCTGTTTTTGTCTTTGGAGTAATCTATAGTATTGCATTCAACTAGACCAGTGGTTCCCAGCCTTTTTTTGACCAGGGTCCACTTGACCAGGACTCACTTGACTAGGACCCACTTTGACCAGGGACCACTCTCCAACATCAGTACCAAAAAAGGTGGGGCTGATCAGCTCTGCAGAAAGGAGCATAAATAAAATAAATAAAGAGGACCAGATTTTTGTTCTTGTGGCCCATTAGTGGGCTGCAGCCCACAGGTTGGGAACCACTGGACTAGACAATCAAAGATCACTAGAGGACGCTTTGTCTTAGTAATATGATATGGTTTTAGATTACCTAGTTAATAAGGAATGCATATACACAGTTATCTTTCAGGAGGCAGTAGACGCCTAAAAATATTATTCTATTCCCCAACAGAACAAAATGGATTGTCTTCCTTCTAGGTTTCAGTTAAACGACTGAGCCTTACAAAGCCAAACTAAAGCCATTGCATGAAGTTTCCAATGCAAACACAAGCACTGAAAACACATGTTCATAATGAATGGATATGTAAAAAAGTTGCTGACTCCAATAATTTTTCATCTAGTATAGTAATTATGAAAATTAGTTTGATGTAGTGGCTTGCATGTTGGACTAAAGTGCATCTACACTGTAGAACTAATGCAGTTCTAGTGTACAGGCAAGGGGGTGGAAATATGGCCTCATTCCTAAATGTGTGATGCCTGCTTAAAATAACTCCAAAGCAAAGGGGGATTTTTGTAATATTACACCAACAGTGGGACTCATGCGTGCCTCCAGATGTTGTTCTAGCAATCCTAGAAAGGGCAACCAATGACAGGAAATGCGAGAAGTTGCAGTCCATTGCAAAGCACATAGCTTCAAATTGACAAAATATATAGTAGAGAGAATAAATAACACACAACTGTTTGTGGCAAAAGGCTGAGTGACAATATGCTAAATTGTAAGTATCAGAGTACCTGTATAAAATAATTACACAATATATACTGAATATAGAAATATGAAGGACAGAATATAAGCAATCATTGTTCATAACTTGGGCACAAGACAAGTATAATGGAGTTTTGAACGTCTTTATCAATATGAATACCACTTCTTAATTAACTTTTAAAATGCAAAAGCATTGAAACAAACCCAAAAAGAGGTTAATACAGAAGTCACATATGACATTTCATCCAATTCCAATAGAATTACTAAAGAAATATACCCACTTTGTAGCTTATAAACATTCAGTGTATGCAATAATTCACAAGCCCTGGATACAATAATAAGAATAATAAGCTGAATATGTTCCCAGAATGAATCTTATATTTTTCCAAATGAAAGAATTACTGGGGAAACAAATACGAAAGACTTCAGTTTTAGATTACAACCAAATATATCTAAATAGAATGAAACATTACAAAACAACTGGCATTTAACACTAGATTCTAATTTAAACTTCCTTTTGTAGGCAACATATTGCAACCTTGTTTATTTATTACTTTATATGTCTGCATTTAGAATATTGTGGAAGTATTTTTATGCATATATTTCAAATGTAATCATTTAGTGTATTGTCATTCTGCCCTTCATTATAGTATGCAATTCATTTCCATCCTACTCTCCTATAAACTTTATGTGCATTTGCAGTCACTTTGTATCTTTTTTGTGTGATAGCCTATACAACTGCTACCCTAAAACTGTGGGTAATTGCTAGTCAAAATGTGGAGGGCTGCTTGATTCCTCATGGAAGAATTTTAAAAAGCCCTTATTCTACATTTCCTACTTAGCTGCACATTTGAGCCGGTGTGGGATTGTGGTTTGAACATTGGACTTCATAGATTCTGTAGACCAGGGCTTGATTCTCCATTTGACCATAGAAACCCATTGGGTCCCCTGGGTGAATCACATGTTTTCATCCTCAGAATCCCAAAGGGCCTCCATAAGTTGGAAATGACTTGAAGGCAACAACAAATGAAGTAACATCTCCTGAAGCAGACAACAGTTGCTCTGAGAAACAGGGAACTGTTCTGATTGTGATCAGGATGCCAAGAAAATGACTTTTCCACCTTTCTCCCATCTATGAACAAGGCTATGGTAAAGATTTGTGATGGGGTCCTGCTTCTAATTGTCACAGTATCACTAAATGGTGGGAGGACAAAACCATCATTCACTTTGTATTTTAATCACTATCAAAATAGATCTCCAGCTCCTGGAGAAGCTGCTAGTTTATAGGCTAAGCTGGGGGCTGCTGGCTGTTTTAGTATTCAGGATCCCCCTGTCCCAGTCCCCATCCCATTTCTGCACACTTTAAAAATGGTTTACAGATGGACTGAATTCCATGGAACCCACCTTACAACAAATGGGTCTCCATCTCTTAACTGTTTCAGAAGTGTTTGGAAATGGACAATTCTGGACCCAGGAAATACTCATCTTCAGAGCTCCTGATGTGCGTGGAAACAGCTAAAGTCTGGGATGGGAACTCTTAGTTTTGTCTCTTTTAGTTCATTTTAGTGACATTTAGGGTAGGCGTCCCCGTGATCATTCTTGAAATGAGCCTTGGTGTTCCTTTTCTTGCTGCCACTCCTCTTTTACAAAACATTTACAGTAGTTTTTATATTAATTTATTCTTCAGGAATTGTGCAATTGTGGTATATCACCACTTTGCTGTGACTATATTTCCTCCTTTTTAGATGTAGACTTCAAACTTCTGCTATTGTGAAGTTTCCCTTTAAAAAAGAAAAGAAATAAAGAATGTGGAATGGGTGGGGTCCACACTTGTCTATGTGATAGTTCAGAATGTGGAGGGTTACAGTCAAAATACATCTCATTTGTTGGGGTTGAAAATATTATCAGTTTCCTTTAAAAACAGAACAGAACCAAATGCTACCATAAGAAGATTATCCCCCCCCCCCCCGCTTCTCCTCCCTCATGGGATGAGGTCCCTAGGGGGCTGGTTCTATATAGATATAGTGAATATGGAGCAGTTACAGAGCTGCAACTCTAGATTATTTATTTATTTATGGTATTTCTATCCTGCTTTTCTTGAATCTGAAGGTGACTCAAGGTGGCTTACGAATCCTGACTTGCAGTACAGAATGCCAGACATCGCTATGTTTTGAAAATAAATTCAAAATACACTTTAAAAGCTGACAATCAAAATATTTCAGAGTATAGCATAATATAATAACATATAAAGAGCTGGGGTTGAATCATAGTGTCTTCCTCTGTTAAATGTACAGAAACTAAGAGAACTGGTAGTTGAAACTGGTACTGGCAGCGGTATAGTCTCCACTGAATTGGAAAGTAACGTTCTAACTTGAGTATGTGCATATAACCAAATGGGTTATGAAAAGTCAAAGAGTTCAGAAACTACACATGGAGAGGGATAGGGAGTCATTGATTTGATTGCACTGCTTGAGGCTGTTGCTTCAAGCAGTGCAGTTAGGCAAGATTACCCCTGCCTAATTGCAGGGGCAACCTTGCCACCTTCTAAGACTCTGTTACTGCTCCTGATACTTCACTATCTGTGACCTTAGACAACAGCCTCATTCTGCCTAAGAGGAGGGAACGGAAAGTAAAGCAGGTCAAATTTGGAATATAGGCTCAGCTGAAAGCCTTCAATTCTGGTTAATAGATAAATTGAATCTTGGCATTCAAGAACTAACACACGTGAGCAATGAAAAAAGAAAATGTTTCTATTTTTGTCCGTTATTACACAGGGATGCTGGAAATAGGGGCACTGATTTAATTGCTGATTCCCACACAGCTGACACTGGGTCTGGATGCCTTAATTAAGTCATGAACCTTAATTTATTTGTGCCCTAGTTTGGAAAAGGCATACAAATAAAATGGCAGCCCCCAGAAATGTTTCGGCCTTGTTTCAGTCTGGCCTCATTGTATTCCTAAAGACCTGGAGACATATGAGGTGTAATGAAGCTCAAGCATTCCCATTAACCCCATTTGGACTTTGTGTACCTCCTCGAGGAAAGATCTGTGAAAGAGTTCCATATACGCTATATACTTCTGTTGTGTTTATCACAATCTTTGGTCCTCCAGGTGTTTGGGACTTCAACTCCCAGAAATCCCAGCCAGTTTACCAGCTGTTAGGAATTGTGGGAGCTGAAGTTCAAAACACCTGGATGACCAAGAACCACTGATTTATCATATTCTGAAATTTCTATACAGTCAATTGAATTGTACCCCTATATGCAATTTATTCCTACTACAAAGCAGGACCAAGAACCAAGCAATACAATAGTCAATCCCCAACCAAGAAATGCATGTGTTTAGGGG